GAAACGATTTCACTTAAAAAATCTCACGGAACATTGGCTGTGGATGATATTGTCTTTTTAAAAGGTGGCTGCCCCAGCGCAGGTGAGTATAATATTTTTTTAATAGATGTTACTCTAAAATGGATCTTAAATATGTTTTGGTTCTAAATTGTTGAGAAACTGTGAAAAAACAAAAACAATCAGTTAACTTTATGCTCGTATATATTAATCCAATACATAAACATTTTCTTGGTGGTAGGAAAAAATTAAGAAACTGTTGGGGGAAAGGCAAACTAATGACATATTAAAAGGTAATCCCAAAAGAATTGGCACCAGCTGACCTAGTTTTCGCTCATCTCTCACCAAAGATCCGATAGAGGATTTAAACACTCTCCACAACTATAAAAAGAAAAAGGCGGGAAAGAAGGATAATGAAATGAAATAGGAAATAAGAACAAATAAGGACAAATATATATACTTATACTCTAAGCAAGATCACAACGAAATCCAACAACCATACTTTTCTTTTACACAAAGTAGTTTTTTTTACGGCAAGGTCCACCCTTTACAAGGCTCGGGTGCCACTCGAGGTAGAGGGCTACGTTAGGCGGCCTTTTGTACAGATATGGTAGATAACGGTTAACTCTAGATTTGAACAGGTTAAGATTATAGTGATCGGGGAAGAATTCTCTTGGAAGTCGGTTCCACAGATCAGAGGTTCGCGAGAAGAATCTGTTCTAGTGGAACTTACTTCTCATTGATAGAATACAGAGAGAATGTGGGTGGTTTGCTCCAAAGTGAGTGACATGACGGGTCATTGCCGTGAAGGTTAGAACTGGCAGAACCAAGGAATGTAGTTCGTCCGAGCACTTTCCGTATAAATAGCGATAGAGCAAGGAGAGTCTTGCGACATCTCACCTGTGAGTGAGAGAGAGAGAGAGAGGAATATAATTCGTCAACCACAAGGACTCGCAGACACCTTTTGGACTATCAAGGCTGGAAACTGCGATTTGGGTAGCTGCCGCCCAAATATGACAACAGTACTCCACTTGCTCCGTCTTGGGAAAGATACGAATCCTCTTCTTCTTAGCAGGGAAGACCGGGTTCTATAGCATTGGATGGCAAGTCGACTACCGCAGAAAGAAATAGCAACCTACTGCAGAAAAAAATCTGCCTCGTCAGTCATGTATCGAAAAATAAATGATCGCGTAAGTCAAATAACTGACTGATTCCATTCTTGGCCTGATCTAGACCTTGTAAAGGTAGAGGATAGCATGTGGAGTCGGGTACTTACTAGAGTGGTACAGGTAGCCGGCCATTTTACCTGCATTTTTGGCGACAGCTCGTATGTACGAGTTCCACTTGTAGTCAGGTGTGAGTTTAAGGACGGTTAGTCACTCAGGGCACGGAGCCTCTCCAATGGGACATCCGTTCATCGTAATTGACAGTAATTCGGGGTCCGATCGACGATGGCAGAATATAATTAATTTAGTTTTCGATGCATTGAATGTAACCAGCCATTTTTCCACACTGAGTAGTTTGTGCTAAGGTCGGAAGAGAGATGAACTGCCAAACTCTGATCATCAATAGTTTTAGAGGCACACCCGTATATCGTCGTATCATCGGCATAGGTGTCTGAGATTATTTATGTAAATCAACAAGAGGCTTATTCCGAGGAGTGATCCCTGGGTTGTCTCGATAAATTGTCTCAAGAACTTTCAAGGGATGCACTCAAATGTGAAAACATATGTTCACACAAAAACGATGTGCATTGACAGTTTTTAACGAGATTATGCTGAATTTCCAAGTCGACTATTCATAATGCAGGCTGGAATATTTCTAGAGAAATTCTCTTCTCGAATAACTAATTGATTCTTCCTATCTAGTCAGCTTCACACTGACATTTAAATGGATATATTACGGAACACGTTCAAAAGATAGATAGGCTATCTTTACGAATTCTTTTTAACATCGGCCGTGAACATGAATTGACTACAAAATAACAATGCCTATTGCTTGTAGAGAATCGTTTATAAAAATCTCATATGAACCTCTCCAATTTATGGCAATCTTAAATACACAGGATATTTTTTAGTGTCGAATTATTCTGTTTTATGGAACTGTGTAATTTTAGCAAGAAAGCTTGATTGCACCACGTTCAAAGATACCTATTGTCACAAAATATTTTCTTAATAAATTCTAATTCCTGATGAATTAGCTAAATGCAACCGTAAGTTCTATTCGAATAGTTTCTCTTCTCGCCTGTGGATCTCTCTCTCCCCTGCATTCTTCCATCCTCCCCACCCCCAGGATCTTCAAAAATTTAAATGCAGCGTCAATCACAATCTTCTACTTTCTTTAAACCCTGTTTCTTATCGTTCTTTTTCTTTATTAAAGTCTTCTCATTCTTTTTCACTCTCAGTAACCAGTTGCATCTTAGTGGCATTATCACCTTGCTTAGGGTAAAATTATTTAAAAAAAATCCTATATGGCAGTGAATATTGGACAGTCTTCTCACAGACGAACAAGAGACTTCAGACAACAAAAATGTGGTTCCACAGATGGATGCTAAGAATACTATGAATATGTGAGCAACGGCAAAGCTTTAGAGAAAATGGAATCAAAAAGGAAACTTATACTTAGAATCAGAAAGAGTTGAATTTTCTAGGACACAAAAAGACAATTTTTAAGAGCTACATAAGACAGGAAACTGTGGAGAGCCATGCTCGCTCACGGCCTGAAAAATAACGCCAGGGTACATACAGTCCAATATATTAATCCTGTCTTATAAAAGTATATCGGACACATGTATCATAGCCAAATAGGCTTGATATGATAACGGGTTTCATTAAAAATTCAAATGGAAAACTGAAATTTTGACATGAACTGCTAGTCACTATTTATATATGACTATTATACATTGAAATCGACATTTAATTAAAATACTATTATTATTGGTTTGTGTAAAATTTTTGAAAAGCAAATTAACCATTTTCAGTGCAAAATAAGCAAATTCGTCTGAATATAAAATCCCTGCCTAAGTCTTTAACTAAAATTTGATCTATTTTAATATCTCAGCTTTTGTTTTCCTACAAGGCCTTTTTTGTTTAAAAGCGTCTGTGTTCTGTAATTCGAGCATTTAATTACGACTAATGACATGTAAGCATGAAGCTTTATTTTCTAATGACATTTATTTTTATTTCTTCTAAGGATCTTGTGACTTTGAACGTGGTCACTTATGTTTCTGGACAAATGATCCGGCCAACAACATTGACTGGATTGTTCAAAATGGAAAAACTATGACTCGTGATACAGGACCTTTAAATGACCACACAAAAGAAACTGCAGCAGGTAACAACTAATCAATTAATTTATTCATTTATATGCGCACACAGACTCTCGCGTACATCAATGCACGAAAAATACTTGCAATCTAATGGTTTATTTGCTGAATGATAATATCCACGTGCGCAGTTAGATTGAATTTAGGTTCGTTTTGCGCAGCTGTAAACATGGTACTTGAAACTTGCGGTCTTAATTTAATAGTTACTTTTGATTCGTAAGCCTGGTTTGATGATAAAAGATCACCATTTTATATTGTATTGAAACATTTGACCGTAACAAAATAAACATTTTATTTACATACTATATGTATTTTTACATCATATATATATATATATATATATATATATATATATATATATGATTTGGTTCTGCAAAACGAAGATCAAGAAGGAGGCATATTTGTAACTGATAAGTCCAATGGGACAGGCATACACTGTCACACAGTTGCAGCGGAAAGTTCGGCCTGGGATATATATATATATATATAGAGAGAGAGAGAGACACTGACGTCAACATACCAAGCATCGACACTCTGTTTCATGCCTAAACACAATATTTAGACAATGCGTGAAGAAGACATATCCTGAAGGTCGCGTTTAAGCACTTCAATATTTACATGCGCACTATGTCTGATATTGAGCGCGTTGCTTGTTTTTGATTTTGTCGATTGCACAATATAGTAAGGTCAGATGGACGCCGTCTGTGAGAAAAAAGAGTTGCATGGCGCAATTCATTCCGCTAGAAATTTAGAAACCGCATGCTGTACTGTTTGGCAGTCAGGCCGGAAGTTCCAGTATGAACATTGCATTGCAGGGGATTCGAAAAGGTTTGGGTGATATATCCAGTCAAAATTATGGTTTTTGGAGTGATCACTAGTGGTGGCGTTGTTATATCTTCATTCATTTCCTACGGGTCCTCAGACTTAACACGGAGTTCTACATCAAGTGCCTTGAGGAGATAGTGATACACTGAGTCAAAGTGGCTGCTGAAAGACCCTATCTCTCAACAGGGCTTTACACTATGCTATACAAGAAGGCGAACTCAGTTCTGTTAGACAATTTCGGTGACCACTTCACCCCTTACATCTGACCGCCTAACTCCCCAGTCAGTAACCCCCTTGAATATGTGTGGGGCGCAGTTGAGCGAGAGACGAATAAATCTTCTTGTAATACCAAAAATGGACTGATGGCAAGGATCATGGCAGCATTCGCCAACTTAAACAAGGAGACCGTGCAGAAAAGTGGCAGGAGATTCCCAAGTCGTCTGGAGACTGTGGTTGAAGCCAATGGCGATTTTAGTGAATAAATTTACTCTAGTATTTCAAGATATTGTGCAATTTTGTCAAATAAATCTGTAATATGAGATGTCAGTGTTATTTTCATTTTGCGTAATCTAGACAATTTATCAATCGCACCCTATATATCAATAAATATTTCTACATTTAAATCGATTCCGCGTTCAATTGATAATAGGGTAAATATTATAGATTGTTATAAATATGTGAAGTCTTAAATAATTGCCATATTTATCTAATTTGAAATGTTGGTTTATTCTTTGAAGGAATGTATGGCCTACTCGAAACATCTTATCCAGCAAAAGTAGGAGACCGGGCAAAATTAATTAGTCAACCATTGAATAATAACAACGTCAAGTCTTGCTTTCAATTCTGGTATGCTATGAATGGTCTTCAAGTGGCATCCCTGAGCGTGTCTGTCAAATCTGCAAATAACGTCGAGACAACTTATTGGCGTCTTTCCGGAAACCAAGGACCTAATTGGCATCATGGGCAAGTACCACTTCCGGCTGCGAAGGAAGACTTCCAGGTATGATTTTGGCATAAAAGATTTGTCATTCAGTAGATATTAAAATGGATGTACTAATACTCTTGGACAAGTCAGTCATATTGACTTTTATTACATGACATCACTTACAAATAAAATCGTTCATTTTTCCATAGTCCTCTTATATTGTTTTGTCGTTACTTTCGAAAATACTACGGAGTCTTTTTTTTTCTTATAGATTGTCATTGACGGCAGTGTGGGAGGGAAGTTTGGTGATATTGCTGTTGATGATCTTTACGTGAGGGAGAAAGGGTGTGGCTTTTCGCCAAGAAAAGCTGCTGTCTACGTTCCTACCGTGACGCCCCCGCTTGTCATAACGACCACAAACCCCCCAATCATTTCGGGTAAGTGTCAGTTGGGATTTCGAGTGTTTTAATTATTTGAGGGAGCAATCATTGCCTCCAGAAAAAGAGGCTTGGCATCCGTTCTAGATGATTTTCATTCCAAAGTCGTGAAACTCGCTGTCACAATGTTATCCAAGAAAACAGTTAACTTTTAAGAGGAACAAACCGTTTTATGAATAAATAATTTTCTCTTCAACCTAAATTGTTTGAATTCTGAGATTAGATATTTTCATTATTAAATTTTTCCCAAGATTACCCAAGATGCCTCAGTTACCGTACCAGCTAAAACTTCGCTCGTGAAAGACGTGATCAGAGTTAGATTTCGAATTTGTGTTTCACCAGAAGCTTCTTTAATACCAAATTCACGCCGTTTATTTTAATAGTTGAAAAAGTGTCGATCAAGAAAGTTAATCATGAATTAAATATCTTGCGATTTCTTATTTATTGCAAATAAAGCTGAAAGTTAGACATGTCTGTTTTCTCGTTGCATAAAGTTTTATGCATAGAAATACTCTAAGTGTTGGATTAATTTCTTCTCAAAATACCGAACTCCTTGATTCTAAAAGTACTCATACACGACAAGAAATCGTAACAGAGGATCGACATCTACATTCGGTAGCTTAATCTTATCTTGCCTACCAAACTAGTGAAACTCGTTATCACAAGTTTACCGTGCAAACAATTGGAACAGACTGGTCTATAAATATTTTAAATTTTCAACCTTTAAAATCTGAGATAAGCAATTTTCTTTATTAAATTTTGGCCAAATTTGTTCCTTGCTTAACCACGATACTTCAGTGACCGAACAAGGTAAAGTGTCACCCATGTAAGACAAGCTCTCGACTTATCATGTTTATCACCCTACTAAATACTAAATTTATGTTCTATATTTTAACAGTCATTTATGTATCGACAAAGAAATTCGTGTTAGAAAGCAACAGTAAAATAAAGAAAATTAAAAAAAAAATTAAGCGTTTTACAATTTCTCGTTTATTTCATAGAACATCTGAATGTTCGATAAGTCTGTTTCCTTCAAATTCATTGCGATTCTACAAGTGGTTATAAAAACGCACTCTTTTCACGGACGAAGAGATAAGGTTTCTTGTAAGCCAACTGTGACGCCTCGTTAAATACAGAACGATGCCAGAATATTGTTTTTTTTTTTTTCCTTCTTTTTCTTCCTCAGGAGACAACACTTTTAATTGCACCTTTGAAAAAGGAACTTGTGGATGGGTTCAAAGCAAAACTGATGATTTCAACTGGATAAGAAATCAAGGCTACACTCCATCCAAAGAGACTGGACCCCAAGGCGATCACACAACTGGGCGTAAGTAATCTCTTCCATTACACGGATATTTGTCTTGTATTAATAAACAGACACAACAAAATTATTTCGCTATATGAAACGCTCAAAAAAATCTCAGTACCTCTTGAAACGAAGAGAAAATCTGTAAGTTAAATTCTTAATGTTGTAATGTAATATAATTGGCCCTGATCTGGCGTCTCGTCTACAGTCACTCTCTCCCAGACGCGCCGTCGCCTCTCTCTGTCTTTTCTACAAATACGTTCATGGTAATTGCTCCGATGAGCTGCTTTCACTGGTTCCCAGACTTCATGAATTCAAGCACCCTACGAGGCTGGCACCCCGCTCTCATCCTTACACTGTAGAAAGTTTTAAATGTAGCCGTCTCTTCTACTCCAATAGCTTCATACCTCGCACCTCTCGCCTGTGGAACACCTTTCCCTATTACTGTTTCCCTGAGAGCTATAATCTCCAACTATTCAAATGTAATGTCAATCGACATCTCCAGTTACCTTGATCTATCCACTATCCCTCTCCTCATCCTTTCTTCTATCACTCCTATCTGATCTTGCTCCAAATCTTCTGCAACCCCCTGCATCCTAGTGGCTTCACGCCTTGCTCGGGGCGTAATGCTTAAAAAAAAAAAAAAATCAACAAGATGGATTCCGAAAATATTTCCGTAAATTTCGGTGTATAAGTAGTCTACCTCAATATTTTAACTCAAAATTCTGAGTTGGGCAGGTACCTACCGTTTAGTCCAACCCCAAACATAGGGTAGGATACCAGTGGCTCAAAACTATGGCTTACCGGTAAATGAAGTTAGGCTTTAGTGTACGATAAACTACGTAGGTTCACACCATTTACCTGTATACTGAAACACTAACCGTAATATATTTCTATATGCGTTGCATAGGAAACAACCTACAACACACATCAGTAGGCATCGTATATTCAATTGGTATAACTTCTTTTTCTTTTTATGTGCCATGTCCTTTCAGGATGTAGGCGATCATAGGTCCACCTTCCTCTATCCCTTGCAGGTCTCAGCAAGCTCCTTCCCTCTGCTTCCTTCCCCAGACCACGTTCTGTCATCCACCTTCTCAAGCTCGCCAGGTATGTCACGCGCTGCTTACCCTTGTCTCTCTTTCCCTCTATTTGACCTTTGAGTATCACGTTCTCCAGGCCTCCTTCCTCATTATGTGCCCCAGAAACTTCAGCTGCCTCTTTCTGACGTTAAGTATAAGCCTCCTCCTTGATTGCATCCTCTCTAAGACCTCATCGTTGCTCATACGCTCGTTCCATGATATCCTCAGCATCCTTCTGCAGAACCTCATCTCCGTCGCCTCGAGTCTCTTCTTCATCTTTGAGGAAATCGTCCAACATTCGCTTTCGTAAAATAGAACAGAAAGAAATATCAGCGTTTGGAATGTGTCCTTGGCCATCCTAGAATGTCTGCGGATCTCAGAGTCGCACTTATCGTCCTCTGTCAAGACGCTTCGTGTATCAGTCATGTATCGAAAGATATATGATCGCCTAAGCGTGTATCACGTATGGTACATAACTAACTGATCCTTTTAGACCAGCGTTTCTCAACTGCTGCGCTCAAGTGCATTCTTACGCCCTGAAAGTTAACTAGGTTCGAATCGAGTTAACAGTAATTTATGAATTACTTTTGTATTAAAAAATACACATTATTTTTTAAAAGCTAGAGGCTCCAAGAGATGTAATATCTTAAAAATAAATGCTTATTTCAGGAGACTTCTTTATTTTCAAATCTCATGACTAATTTTTCCTTATTAAAACTTAGAGTGTCCCGAAATTTTTATTCTACAAATGGGCCATGAAAGGGGGTTGCGAAAAAAATGTCGTAGACAGACTGCCAACCAAGGCTAATAATCTTTGTCTACCCCTTTACGCCAAAGCAGTCCTTTATTTTTGCTGGGAATCAGACGAACCGTAACTGTTCCCATCAGTACTTAGTTCTTATTCGTCAGTTTCCCGTACGATCACCGAAGTTAAGCAACGTCGATCCTGATCAGTACCTAGATGGATGATCACTTTGGAATACTTGTATGTGCGTATGGTGTAATAAATAATGGATCAGAATTCTTAATCGGAGAGCCGAGTTTCATTTCCTGTTCGGTTCATTATATTAACTTATGCGCAAATGCCTTTGGGAAAGCTATGAATCCCCTTCCCCCCCAAACTTTGGGTTAATTAGTAGAACTTGAGGAGGAACTTGAAGTAATGGATAGCGGCTCCGATTGAAGAATCGGAAAGCCGAGTTTGAATTCCGGTTGAATCCATTTCATTCACTTACGTGTTAATATCCTTGGGAAAGGTATAAATCCTCTTCTTCTCCTCCCCCCCCTAGCTATGGGTAAATAGCAGGACAGACAGGCTTCTATAGCCTTGGATGGCAACTGGTTTACCGCAGAAAGAAGTGGCAACCAACTGCGGGGAAAAATCTGCCTCGTCAGTCATGTATCCAAAGATACATGATCGTCTAAGCGTGTATCACGCATGACACATAACAGACTGAGTAAAACTTGTATCAGTAAATAATTATCATCTCCAAAAATTATTATAATCTAAGAATATTCTCTGGCTTTAAATAACTTGCAAAAGGTTGATAATTCGTAAAATTAACCTCTTATTTTGCTATGCTTTACTTTTATTCTAGGTGGATATTATATGTATTTAAAAGCATCTAGCAATCGACATTCGAAAAATGCTAAGCTGATATTCATTGGAAATAATATGATTCCTGGGATGAAATGTATGCGATTTTGGTACAGTATGCGCGGTTCCAATGTTGGTAGTCTCAATATTTACATCATCACCGAAACCAACGACCAATTAGCAGTATGGACAAAATCAGGAACGCAAGGACCCACATGGAATTTGGGAAAAGTTGAATTCAATGTCACAGCCACGTTTAAGGTAAGTACAAAAGAAACATGTTTTAAAAAAATTCTTGAAGATATGTTAATTTTAGAGAAAATACACAAGATTATTTCTACATATGAATTTGAAAACTGTGGCTTATCTCTTTAAGCGTCAGTGCTCGACATAAACCCAATAATCTGAAGTCAATTCTGTTATGCTTAACAGAATAAGTAAGAATTGTGTTACAAAAGTCGTGGTAGAGCCTAAGCCACGAGGTACACGGATTCGGGGCATCAAAATCGAGCCGGTATAGATATTTAACTAATAGGGTATTATATTAAAAGACGATGGAAAGGAGGCATAGGGATAACGAAAAATATCTTCCGGATTTGTTTTCTTTAAGAAATTGTCGGATATTATATGGATTAATGCCATGAAAGAGTTCCTTCATGTTGCTTGTTTGGTTGAGTTATTTTGTTTAGCAACATATCAACACCTCTATGGGTTATTTAATGCCGAAATCTACATTTTAAACAACTACAGATAAAATGTATTGTTGGCAATTTTGCTATAAAATGTATTGTTGGTAATTCTGATTTTAAAATGTATTGTTGGTAATTATTTTATATAAAAATATATTGCTGGTATTTTACAATACATTTTTATTCTATCATACTGTTTTGTTTTTGTTTGGATATTCAATATTTACCCATAGCTGGGACCATAACAGTGCTAAACTTGCCGGGTCAGGGTGGACCTGGAAACAGCAATCTTGTTGCCAGTCTAGTACTGCGCTTAAATTCATAAAGGCTATACCATAGACTATAGAGAAAAAATTATCAGAACAATTACAATGAAAGTATTTATACAAAAGACATGGGGAAGCTAGATGACTGAAGCCAGGACAAATTACAGAGACTTTGGATTTAAAAATTAATATTCAGAACACAGCATTCCGATATTTATTAAACCTTCTTTTAAAATAAAATATGTTGTTGGGTCGAAAGTGTTCAATGAATTTACGCACATGAAGCGCCTTCCATTCGATACAATTAAAGGAAACTTGTATAAGATTTATCTCCCCTGTGTAGATTTGGCAAATAAGGAATAACGCCAAAAAAACTATTGCAATAATTCTTCAAATATTCTTACATTTGAAAATAACCGAGAAATTCCCGAACACGTTAATAAATTTGCGAGAAGACACGTATTATTATATTTACTATATTATTAAATTTATTTTCTTCTCTTTTCAAACTCCAGGTCGTTATTGAAGGGGTCAAAGATGATAAGTTTTTGGGAGACATTGCTATCGATGACGTCACTTTACAAAATGGGTTGTGCAAAGGTTTGTATGTTCAAAATTATTTGAAATCAAAAAACATTGAAACAAGAGTAAATTTTCCCTTATCAATAGCTTCGTTTTTTGTGCGTGTGAACTGTTCTTATATGAGACGCCATATTTTCTCACAAAGTGTGATGTGTGACGAAAAATAAACGCAAGTGTAAAACTGTATACGGATATTTGGGGAAAAGAATACAGAGCAGTGTTTTCGGAGAGAGAATATCGAGGTGTACTTTGTAGCTGAAATTATAGGCATGTGTTTTCGAGGGGTGGGGTGGAAATAGGCCGGGGTTTCCCACAAACGAATTCGAGAGGTCAGGGTCCCCACAGACGTCAGAGCCCGGAGCATTCCCTCTCAAATAGACACCAGAGGCCCGTGTCTTCCACCAGACGGAATCCAGAGGTCCGTGTCTATCACCAGCCGGAATCCAGAGGCCCAGGTCTCCTACCAGCTGGAATACTGAGACCCGGGTCTCCCACCAGCCGGAATCCAGAGACTCAGGTCTCCCACCAGCCGGAATCCAGAGAGCCGGGTCTCCCACCAGCCGGAATCTAGAGAGCCGGGTCTCCCACCAGCCGGAATTCAGAGAGCCGGGTCTCCCACCAGCCGGAATCCAGAGACCCGGGTCTCCCACCGGACGGAATCCAGCGGCTGGGACTTGATACCCCCACAAACAGACGCCAGGAGCCGGGGTCACCGAACGGATACCAGAGGTTGGAATTTTCTTCCAAAACAGACACCAGAGGCCGGGGTCCCTCCCGCCAGGGATACCAGAGACTGAAGTCGCCGAACGGATGCCAGAGACCGGGGTTTCTCCAAACAGATACCCGTGGCCGATGCTTTTTGAAGGCAACACTCATCTACTTTCCAAGAAGCATCTGTGCTATAATTAACAGGTGGTACGTAAGACAGAATCCCTGATCTTCTAGCTTAAAGAGATCATTGGTAGATATAATAGCGCCTCCTTAAATTACAACTCATTGGCGGTTGTGTTTGGTCGCTTAGTAACCAAGGACAAGAAATTTCTGATTTTGAATATAAGTGTCCAATTTGTTTCCGTTTTTCTTAAGTCTTATTTTCGTAAGTGCTTTTTGTAGACGTAAATTTTGTCGGAGGCAAGATTGGGAGAAACAGCGTGTGGACTATCTCAAAAGCTTTTGGAATTGGATAGCAAAACCGATAAACAGGGACGGATAGACAAAGATTGCTTAGAGCTACAAAGGATGTGAAATTGTGGAGAATCCTGGCTGTGCGCGTCCTGAAGAGACACGGGACATAAAAGAAATCGCAGATTTTTATGGAAAAATGCAACGTTCTAAGTTGACATGTAAGGAATTCACAACAGGTCCGCCACACGAGAACAACCATTAGATCGAACGCTTCACAATTTAGAAGGCACGGTGAATAAATGGATAGAGGCTCGGATTGAGGAATCGGAGAGATCGAATTCCAATCGAATCCATTACATTCACTTACGTGCTAATACCTTTGGGAAAGATATGAATCATCTTCTTCTTCCCCTAGCTATGGATAAATAGCAGGACAGACCGGATTCTATAGCCTTGGATGGCAACTGATCTACTGCAAAAAGAAATGGCAATCTACCTCGGGAAAAGATTTGCCTCGTTATCGAAAGATACATGATCGCCTATGGCGTGTATCACGAATGGCACATAACTAATGGACTATACGTTTCAGTTTTATTACTTTATCATCTTATAAAGAATCCTTTCAGATACTTTTCAAATGTTCTATATGCGGCAACATAACTTGATCTAAAAACGTCATGCTGGTATGACCAAAGAACAAGAATACGTTGGTGATAAACATGGTCGAAAGAAGGCAAAGCATGTCATCGTCAGATGAATTAAGTAAGCGCCAAAATTCAGTGGCTTTGATTGTTAAATATGAAGAGCAACCAGCAGTTCAAATTGATCAATAAAGAAGTTCGTGGGCGCTATTTAGTCAACGTTTCTACGATTTAATGAAGTTTTAATAAAGGGAAAACATAAAACTACTATAACAAAAAAATAGTGATATTTTTCGATGCTCTTAAACAGAAGATCTCGAGCCTCGTAAAAAGGAATTTAATGCTTTTTTTTAACCATTTCACCTGAAGCAAGACAATAAAAGGAAGAGGTTAATGTGAGAATAATATAATAAAAAAGAAAAAAAGAACATTATTAAAGGAGAAAATAATAAAAGAACAGGAATTTAAAAAGACAGAAGAAAACGATTGACATTGCATTTAAATTGTTAATGATCAAAGTTGACTGGAAAGCAAGAGGCCGGTAGAGAATTCCACAAGCAAGAAGTACGAGAGAAGAAACTGTTAGAGATGACTTATTTGTTGTGTTAAATTATTTTATTCTAATATTTTATTTGCCGAAAAATGCGTAAAGAAATATTTAAGGAAAATCATTAAAAAAAAAAAAACGAAGATGAAAATGATAATGTTTTTTTATTAAATATATGCTTTTTATCTTCAATATTGCCTAAAAATATTTTAAGCTTCCTTTCAATGAAATTATTTTGAGCAGAACCCTACGGAGACTGTGACTTTGAAACACAAGATATTTGTGGTTTTCACAAGGACCCCACTGCCGATTTCTTCTGGGTTCGAAGCAAAGGAAAAACGATTACCCAGGACACTGGACCTAAATTTGATCACACATATAGGACTGAATCAGGTAAAGTTATTTTTATCCATTTCTCTCTCTCTTTAATTTGATCTTAAATTAATTTACTTGCAGAATTTAAATTACGATTTTCGCCCAAATGGCGTTTTTAGACTCAAGATACGGAAGCAAATGAGAATAATAATAGAATGTTTTTACTTAATCCGAATTAACTCTTGAAAAGCAAGGAATGGTGAATTCAGATTAATCGAGTTTGTCGGTCTTTTCTTATATGAACTGAAGATATTTGCTAGTTTCCGGTAATTGCCAACAGTCGCTATTCGGACATAGAAAAACTCAGAATATTTTCCACGAGCCATAGGGAAGCGGACCACAGACTATACCACTATCAGGTAAATGAAGCTTTGAAATCAATGGAGAGAAGTAAAATCATTTTTTTTCTTTTTACTATTTTTCCATGCTGAATTTTTCAACTTGTAGCTATCACTCTTTACACAGACCATTTTATTTCAATGTATTTCCTGAGATCAATAGTGGCGAAGATAGGAGTCACGAATAAGCAATGACATTAGCACATTATCCATGGCTCCACTGCAAGTTGAATTTACATCGAACTTTTTCATATATATATATATAAAAGGCAGGATGTGTTTGTGTGTAACGAATGCACGGCCGCAATTTTCGACGGATTTGCACCAAAATTTACATACACATGCTCCAAGTTAGCGGGAAGGCCAAGACTGACTTTGCATTTCCCAACTGCTGATAGTGGAAACAGCTGACTGACACGAATGTTAACTAGCATGCTAGCATGCAAAAAAAAAAAATCGATAGCTGCATTCGTCACAAGTGGAAACAATTTAAATCTGCATGGCACTTTACTCCAATTGGCTCATTCGCTTGCTTAAACTCAACGTTGATTCTGATTCCGCAGAACTGGGTTGCGTGTGAAAAAGTATTTGTTGTTAACATTATTTTTTCATTCGGTTTTTCCAGTTACGAGTCCTTTTTTAAAGCTGATCTTTTTGTGTTCATTTTGTTTAGTTCTTTTTTCGTAACAGATTTAATGTTTAGTCTAGAGCTTAGAAAAAATTGGCAGTGTGAGATAGGCAAGAAGTAAGGCATGTAGCAACATCAGCATGGCAAAGGGCACTCCTTTAAAGGCAAGGAAGGGCAAAAATATTTTAAGTCAAGTGATAGCGATTGCTGTATGAGTCGTACGATTTTTGAATCAAGCACGGGAAACGCCGGGCCATGCTGCTAGTATATATATATATATATATATATATATATGTGTGTGCGTGTGTGTGTGCGCGCACATATGTATGTGCATGTGTATATATGTATGTATTTGTTTATATATATGTGTGTGTGTGTGTGTGTGTGCATATATGTGTGTATGTATATATCTGTATATATATATATATGTGTGTGTATATATATGTGTATGTTTATATATATATCTATATATATATATAATTATGTGTGTGTATGTATATATATATATATGTGTGTGTGTATATATATATATATATATATAATTATTTTTATAAAAAAATTTATAACATAAGTATGTTATAAAATCACTACAAAAATAGCCATTTTGTTTCAACACACTCTGTGTCTTATCAAGTGATGGTGTTGAAAAGAAAATAAATGGTTTTAAAAGTTTCAGATTAATTAACGATCCTACACTAGGGGGAGCATTGTTACAAAAGCTAGAATAACCAATCAAAAACGAAGTACAGAAAGATTCAAAAGCTTGACAACAAAATCCTGCTATTATAGCTATTTAGATCTTTAAATACGTGTAATATTAAAAAATAATTTTACTAACTAATAATTATAAATTTATATGATAAAATTTAATATTAAAATTAAAAACTGGCAATTTTAAAATCCAAATTTAATCACTATTAAGTTTAAAAACTACAAAATTATTGAGAAAAAAAAAAAATATATATGTTTATTCAATTCATTTCTTCATTGAAATTACGTCTGACAAGACAAAAAAGCTACAATTCGTCCGGTCATCTGATAATACATGTATATATTTTTTTTTTCCGTTTTTATTTTAAAGTTTGTGAATATGGTCTTAAACTCACGCGTGACACAACAAAATCACAATCAGATTATAATACATACGCATCTAGACATAATTAGATACATACACACACACACACACACACACACACACACACAAATATACACACAAATATACACACTAAAAAAAAAAAAAAAAAAAAGGAAGAGGTGGGGGAATACATGAACAACTCCACAGCCCTTTACGAAAAAAGGAGACGTGAAACTAACACTTATACACACACAGTTAAATGTGAATACACTCTACATACACATAGACACCGATATATACACAAACATACATCCACAATGGCATAGACATTGAGAAATCACAACCAGTAAATATTTCAGACTTAAATAAATGCTAACCACTCATTGAATTATAACTTAAGGGAGCAAATATATAAAGATAAAAATGTTTAAAATAATATTATTTAATATATTAAAACGAAAACTCTAAAACAATAAATATCAATAAAAATATATATATATTATTAATCATATAAGTTGATAATAGTTTCATTATATATTTGGCAAAGAAAAAACAGGATAAAGAAATCCACAAATATATACATATATATATATATATATATACACGGCAGCAAAAAAAACAAATTAACACACATAAAAAAAAAAAAAAAAATATATATTCATACATACATATACGTACAGAAATACACACAAATAAATATATAAACATAAACATATACGTACATATACATATCTATGATAACAAGTACATATGTACGTACATATACATATAAACCTAAATACACACACACACATATATACACACATAGACTTTTATGCACACATACTTAGATATATAAAAAACAGTCATGATATACCAAAGTTTCCATACCTACACATACACACAAACTCATACATAATAGGTTCCAACACACACACGCCTATATATATACATACACAAACATACATAA